AATAGGTTTGCTTTAAGCATGTTAACAACCCCTGCTATGATAATAACGTATACGTTTACGTCTGTCTCGCCTATTTTACCAGGGACGTAGAAGTCAAATGTTACTTCTTCTGTGACCTGGAAGGTGGAATCTACGGCGTTCATTTTCCTTGGTTCGATCGCTCGAAAAGACGATTTGCGGGCGAATCGTGTGACCCAGGACTTTTCAACTAGTATAGTTGAGGCTCCTGTGTCGATACGCACCTCGTCTGGTTCGCTATTATCGTCGGCTTTAACGTAGAGTCGAAGGTATGTTCTTTTCGAGGGCATGCTATGCTTATTCGGTTTCGTCTAAGCGTCGATAATTTAGCCTAGTACTAACTTTAGTAACTCTCTGATTTCGTAGTTTTTCATAGCTACTCCAGCAAAGTCGCTACGCGGCTCCGTCTAAGGCTTTGTTTAATACGCTATCGTAACTACTATTACTTCCTCTTATATTTAAGGAGATAGGGGAGGGATTTCTGCTTTAGAAGTAGTTGCCTCGTGGGCGCGGAAGGCAACGTTACTAGTCTATCCTATATAGGCTACCTCTTCCTCTTATAGTTATATTATTAAAACTTTTACGACGTCTTTGAGGATATACCCGTAATCGACGAGGTAATTAATTATATCCTCGTCTAATTCGTCTTCTTATACGAACTTAGCGTCGTTAAGTAGTTAACCCGGACGGTTATACTAGGCGAATCGCCTTAAGTTTAGGAACTTCTACTATACGTTCTAAGGTTTATAGTCTTTCTAGTTTTATTATTTCTAGTTAGGTTACGTTTTCTTTTATTACTATTAAGGCTGGTTACGTTATAGCTAGGGAAAATCGCGTTTCTCTTAGTTCCTATTGTTCTAAGCTAGGCGTAGTTCTCCCTATAAAGCGTTATCCTTACTATCTAGGGTGGTTGTATAAAGAACCTTGATTAGGGTCTGTAGGTATCTTCGAATAACTTTGCGTTTTTCCTCGGCGAGTCTAAGATAGCTCTCAACCGTATTATTAAGCGTTAGTTCGTAGAGAAATCGTTATAAAGATAGGTCTAGAGCGTTATAGAATATCGTAAGTAGTTACTACTAGGGCGTTAACGATCCTAACTATACTCTACTATATTTGAAGTAGTCTTAGGGCGAATAATCGGATATCCTTGTTACTACCGATCTTTTCTATAGTAAACTTATTAGATACTACCTATTAGATTGCTTCTATCTAGGTTAGCCCGAATCAGGCTTTTAGTCCCTTCTATAGGCCGAACCATCCCTAGGCCTTATACTAGTTCCTTTCTACGGGCCCGAGGTAATATTCCTACTAGCTAAGTGCTTTGCCTCTAAGTAGGCTTTGCTATTCTCTAAAGACCTTGTCTCGAGCGTAAGGATTAACGATCTTAGCTTCGATTGCTAAAAGCTATAGGTCTACGTCTCGGTAGTATAGTATCTCTCGGTCGTAGAATATAAGCTCCTTACTATACTTACTATCGGCGTCAGGCTAGAATACTCCGTATCGTTACTAAATATTTGTTATAGCTGCGAATCTCCTTCCTAGGTTTAGTAGTTCCGATCCCGGCGTTACTATGCCTAACAGCCTTCCGAACGCGTTTATTAGCATTGCCTCAAACTACTACTATATTTAAGGGGGCGGTAGAGTCTAGAAGGATAGAAATCCTATTACTATTAGGTATAGTATCTACCCCTAAGGGGGAAGGTATCCTCCTATGCCGGGGGGTATATATTGCTATTAAGGATTTTATCTCTGGCTTAGTATAAATTATATTCCCTCCGATAGGGTCTTTATAACTTATGCTTCCGTTTTTAAAGGAATAACTTCGGCTTATAGCGGTTTCGTATATTATTATTAATTTAACGGTCTTGCTTGTTGAAAAGTTTGTTAAGGTTGGCTTGCGGTTATATCCGATACTGCTGACTATGGCTTTTAGGGGTCTTTGTAATTCCCTTCGTATTAGCTATGCTTAAGTAGTGCTTTAGGAGGTTGTTGCTTTTGCTATTAAAGCTGTGTTAGCGGCGTTATTAGCGCTAGTTTGGTAGTTTTGTTATTTCTTACGGGTTGCTTGCTTTTCGTAATGTCTAACTCTTCCGAGCTTGGTTCTCCGAATTATCCTTAAAGGTCCTAGAGTTCTCGGGCGTAGATAATCGCCTTAGCGATGCTATTTACCGCCTTGTTATAGTCGTAATTCTCTATCCTCTAGCTGTCTTCGAGTTGCGTTGCCTAAGTCTAGGTTCTATCGTCGTATCTAACGTCGATTCGGCTAATATTTATATTCTACGTAATAAACGCTATAATACTTATATATACTCGAAAGGAGTCTGAAATTCTTATTATTTTAGGATTATTAAGATATATCTCCTAATATCGTAAGAGACGTCTTGCTATCTCGCGATGACCGTTATTTAACCTCGGGTTATTTACGTAACTTATCGTATAAGTCTATGTTAGCTACGTCGAGGTATAGGTTATGATTTTAAGCGAGTAGGCTTGTAGGGTATTTCCTTCGAGATTCTCCGCGATATATCGCGGTTAAATCAAGAGAAAAAAATTAATCGAAATTAAGTTATGCTACTACTTATTATAGTTCTTCCTACTAGCACGTAGCTATAATAGGCAGAGGTCGGAACCGTAATAAGAATAAAGATATAAATAGAATAGTATAGAAGTCAAATAAACGGTTACAAGGTAATAAATAACGATAAATTGATAAACGTAGGTATAAGCAGTTAGTCTTGTATTAAGTTAGTCTACTAACGATGATGCTGTCGAGGGCGTCTCTTATACGGGTACGGCTAGTACGTGAGATATCACGTACCCCTGATGACTGTTTATAGAACTGTGACAAGTAGACTTGCTTCTAAGTATATTATAAATAGTAGTATAACTATGCTTTTAATCCTTATCTTAGGTAAGTATATAAATCGTATCGGCTACCTTATTCTACGTAGGATAGGTAGCGCCTTTCGATATAAAATACTTATACGTATCGGGAAGTCGGTTTTTAAAAAAGTTAAAAAGGAAAATAGTAAGGAAAAAGTCTAGTAGACGATTATAAATAGTCTTAATACGCTTTCTAAGGTAGTAATAGCGATTAAAGGCATTATAAAAAGTCTTATAATTATTAATAATAACGTACATGATAAGCGAGTGAGACAGACAAGCGAGTGAGACAGTAAACCGCGACCGTCGCACCTTGACGCGACCGGCACCTTTTCCTCTACAATAAATCATGGAATCAGCTAGTATTGAAAGAAGGTTACAAATTGCCCTTCAAGCAATGAGAAATGACCCAAAACTTAGTGCTCGGGCCGCAGGTGCACTCTATACAGTCAGTCACGCAACATTAAGCCGGCGACTAAAGGGAATAGTCTCACGACGCGACAGCATGCCTAATTCACGGAATTTATCAGATTTAGAAGAGAAGACAATAGTTGAGTATATTCTCGACCTAGATGCGCGATCATTTCCTCCCCGGCTGAGTGGTGTGGAAGAAATGGCCAATCGACTTCTCGCAGAGCGCGACGCGCCTCCAGTTGGGAAGCGCTGGGCTTCTAATTTCGTCAAGCGACAACCACAGCTTAGGACGCGTTTCTTTCGCAAGTATGACTATAAGAGAGCTCAATGCGAAGATCCAGAGGTGATTCGTGGCTGGTTTTCGCTTGTGAAGAATACAATTGCGAAGTATGGTATTGCTGATGCTGATATCTACAACTTTGATGAGACCGGCTTTATGATGGGCGTTATTGCTTCTGGAATGGTTGTTACAAGTGCTGAAAGGCGTTCAAATACGAAGATGACACAGCCTGGCAATAGGGAATGGGTTACAGTTATCCAGGCTATTAATTCCCAAGGGGAGAGCATCCCGCCATACATCATCGTTGCAGGCCAGTATCACCTCTCAAGCTGGTATACAGAAACCTCTCTTCCGGGCGATTGGGCTATTGCAACGTCTGAAAATGGATGGACAACAAACGAGAGAGGTATTGACTGGATCAGACACTTCGACATTTATACAAAACCACGTACGTCTGGGAAATATCGCCTCCTCGTTGTTGATGGTCATGAAAGTCACCACTCCGCAGCCTTCGAGCTCTTTTGTCAAGAAAACAACATTATTACACTGTGCATGCCGGCTCACTCGTCTCATCTACTTCAACCCTTAGATGTTGGTTGTTTTCAGCCGTTAAAGAATGCCTACGGTCGGCAAATTGAGAATAAGATGCGGCGAGGCACAACCCATATCTCGAAGGAAGATTTCTTTGCAGCATTTCACGAAGCTTTTAAGCAGTCTTTTACGAGGAAAAATATCCAGGGAGGTTTCCGAGGAGCTGGACTTGTCCCTTTGAATGCAGAAAGTGTTCTCTCAAAGCTGGATGTAAAGTTCCGAACGCCAACGCCTGAGGAGGGGGTCCCTCAGACACCAGACCCTTGGATCTCTAGGACGCCGAGCAACCCAAGCGAAGCAAGATCACAGTCTACTTTTATTAAGAGTCGAATCTCACGCCACCGAAGCAGCTCTCCAGCATCAATTTATAGTGCTGTGAGTAAGCTAGCCAGAGGGACAGAAGGACTAGGGCATCGGGTAGCATTACTAGAGTCAGAGGTTCAAATCCTTCGAGAGGAGAATGCAATATTAAGTCGGCGTCGAAGGGCTAAGAAAACACGTCTACAGAAAGGAGGAAGTCTTACTATATCTACTGGAGAGGATATACAGTCGCAAAGAGAGGCAGACACGCAACTACAAGAGGAAACGCGACGGAGTAGTGGTCGCAAAGTGAGGTCTGAGACGACTCATCGTCGGTGTGGCGTATGCGGGAATACAGGCCACAACGCGAGAACATGTCAATTTATTGAGGAAACATCCGAAGAACAGGAATCCGAGTAGTATTAATCAATCTAAGATTTCTTGTTATAGATTTCGATATTATTGTCGCGAAGGTCTGGTTTACTGTCTCACTCGCTTGTCTGTCTCACTCGCTTATCATGTACGTTAGTCTTAGTAAACTTATTAATAAAGGTAGCTATAGCGTCTTATAAGATTCTTAGAATATACTTCTTAAGCGTTTATTATAATTCGTAAAGGTTTCTATCGTTAACCTAACCTGCTATATAGAGTCTATTAAGAACCGATTCGCTAGCGTTTATAAGGAGACTATACGTAACGTTACGGTTCTTTCTCTATTCCTCTATAGCGATAAGGTTAGCAAGGCGAGGGACGTTAGTCTCGAGGAATATCTCGAAGTCGTATCCTTGCAAGGTCGCTATAATAAGCATATGCTATATATTC